ATATAGATTGGCCTAAAAACTCTGCAGAGAGTAATGTCCTAATGTTTTCTGTGATACAACTAGCTTTGCTATAACCCTTTTCCGGTCAGGGGAGTTTCACGCTATCAGGTTAAGTCGGTGAAAAACGGTCATGATTCAATGCACTCCAGTAGCCAGCATCTGTGCATGCTATCCTGCCAGACATTTTTGCAAAAATAGGCCATAGTTAACAGACTGTATCGACCACAGTTTTCACATTTTTTGCAATCTGTTCGCATACACACTTCATTACCACCATGGACAACAATTTCTCGTATAAAAAAAATCACAGTTTTATTTCAATACATATTTATCGTTAAAGTAACGATGTTTTGCCCTTTGTGCAGTCTCAATAAACACGTGTTAAACATTGAAATAAATATTGCTTAAATCACTGGTGCATCATTGATGCAACAGTTAATCATACATTAATATATCAATCTTGAAAAACATCCTACATGTACTATAGTTATGAAATTTGTAATTTGGTAAAATTAAATTACTTTTTATAAACAAAATTAGTGTAAATACAAAGGAAATCAGGAGCTACAACATTTTTGTTTGTACCTCAAATCACCTACAATGTATGCAGTCACATTCAATTTTTTTTTTTTTTGAAGAGGCGCTTTCCTAGCAGTCAACAAGGTGATTCAACTTGATTTTGGGGGATTCCATTTTAACTCAGGATTCCTACAAAATCAGTCTTGTTACACATTTATATATATTTTTCTATAATTTCTTAATTTTTGATCAAATGATTATACATTTTCCAATTGCCTACATGTCTTGATGAAAAGGGAATCAACTATGAGGACTTGACTTGAAGTTTAAAGGGCACTGATTTTCAAGGCCAAAATTTGTAAATTATTGAAGGGCACTGAGACAAACTTTTTAGACATCAAGAACTTTGATGCCTCTTTGAAGTTCAAGCCTTGAATTGTGTGGGTTTGTTTTATGAAGGATGACAAAAGATGTTCTTGGGGTTTGAGAAGTATATGTATAAGATATAGTTAACCAAATACTAGTAATTCCAACTAATTTAATTTCTTGCAGTTATCATAGACCCAGCTGATGAAAGGCTCTTGGAGGAAGAAATATCCACACCGGGGGATTCCAAAAGGTATGTTCATATCACCAATGTATATGTAACTGTGATGAAAGTAGTTATCAGTTTGAAAAAATGTGTCATTTGTATGTCTTCCAAAATATTATGTTAATTTGATTATGAGTCTTTAAGCAGATATTGTGACAAAATTAAAAAAAAAATATTATCTAGTTGGATGTTAATGTGGGACCTTTTCTGTTCTGATTTGTCAATAACCATACCATTATTTATTTATATATATATATATACAGAAATTTACTTTATTTTACAGATCAAGACAACATGCCAAACCTGTGTCTTGGTTGAGAAAAACAGAATATATCTCTACAGAATACAACAGATTTACACACAGTAGTGACAAGGCTGAAACAAAGTAAGAACCTTCAAGTTATTCCAGACAGACATTGTTTTTTTGTGTAACTCTGAATTCCTATAAGCTGACTACTGCTTTGTATATTAGTCATAAAAGTCTCTATTTTCTTAATATAAAGTTTCACGAATTCATGATTTAAAGATAAGGGACTCTGTGAAAGTTATTTGTAACTCCCTAGAACCCTTGTGATGGTCAGTGTAACCCCTTAGGACACTTATGAAAGTCGTTGTGACTCCTAAGAACTTGTTAAAAGTTACTGTGACTCCCTATAGTTTTTGTGAAAAGCACTATTAATCCAAAGGATCTTTATGATTGTCACTGTGATATTCCAATTACTTCTAGTAATTACTGGGTATATGTACTTGTGCTCAGTGTAATATGTTACATCCGAGCAGGTAATTTAATTCACATAAATTCCAATGACAAGTCTTGCATGTTTTACTGACCAGCGTTCGATTAACATTGTAATTACGTTTGGGAGCAATGAGACATGTTGAAAATCTGGAAATTGTAGATTTTTTTAGTGCTTGTTTGGCAGATTAAGAACAATACAACCATAAAAATATTTGATGAAACAAGTTATACATCTAGTGTTGACAAACAATCATAATTTCCCTCTTTTACACAGAGTTGGAGCTAATTTAAGAAAGCAATTTGCAGAGGACTATCTTTATAAGGTTAGACATGTTGGTTTTCATCAAAAAAATAACTTCCTGAAATACAATTTAAACAATTTAAATCTCTAAATAAAAAGTTAAGTCATCTGCACATCATGTTCTTATAATTTAAATACTGTGTATATTTATTTTCAGGATCGTGAAAGTCAGATAAGTGCAATTGACAAAACATTTGACACTGCCAAAGTACCAGTAAGTAGTCACCGTTCTTGTCCATCTACCATATATGGGGATCAAAAATCAAATATAATTTTTTCCGCCGAAATTTTGATGTGTAAAATTTCTTTTGTTAATTTTGCACTATAAATGGACGTAGCTTCCCTTTGCCAACTTGATCAAATTTGTGTTGTAAAAATGAAAATAGGCAGATTTTTGTGGTAGGTGACAAATGTTGATTTTGGTTAAGGACAGTGATTCACAGAATAAGCTTTCTGGTCTAGTTTTAATAGTTTTAACACATCAGTTCAAATTAAATGAACTTCTCTTATCACGAATTGTGTGTGTACATCTCGCCTATATTTTTCATAAGACATGATACAATCATAGACGTAATCAACTTTGCTCTGCTATGGTTGTTGAATTGTTATTGTACAGAGTTGAAATATTCCACCTCCTTTAGCTTCCTAAGGTGAGTGGTCGCTCCAGTCACCTAAATCAAGACCCAGAATAACCTATTATCTGTCTTCCATTTTGAAGATATTTCAATAACATACCGTAGCTCCCTCATAATCACTCATGTTACTGTGTTTAGGACAGCCATTAATAGCTCCCAGGATTCTCTTATTGTGTTTCTTTTAATCACACTGTCACTTCTTTTGTAGATCACGGAGCATTACAGTAAACCAAACGTCACAGCGGTTGATGTCCTTCCAGTATTTCCTGACTTCAATGTAAGTTTTACTTTTATTGATCGAATGTTCACTGACAAAAGAATTTGCCATGCTGTTGGAGATGTTAGTCATCCTAAATCTGTGTATTATCTTCCTGTAGCTATGGATCATCCGTGTGCACAGGTGATCTTTGATAGTGACCCGTCAGTTAGCGGTAAACAAATGGCTCTTCAGATGGAGGAGATGTCGCAGGCAATGATCAGGTGCCCAGCTTGCATTGTTTTGATTTATAAATTTCCGCTTTTTCAGTTGTAGGAGGGAATTTAAGTTCAGGTGAAAGATGTGGAAATTGATTGCCATATGGAATTTTAATTGGAAAATGAAACTTGAAATAAAGAGATTGAGACAATCATCTTTAAAGTCAAAACTCAAAATGGGTTCCTTGGGAAAATTGAGAGATTAAACGATGACACGGTTTTAATTTTAAGATTATATAATACCACCATCACAACAACAAGATGTATGTTCAGCGTTTAAAAGTTATCGAATATTGCTTTTGAATACATGCATTATAGGTCTATTTGGATCGACAAAACAATCTCTGAAACAGAAAACAAACATTTACTGGTATGAAAACTTGTGAACAAAATGTGTGACACTCAGGTTTTTAAACTGAAATGCGATGATGAGAAGCATATTTTGTTTTCATTGTCACACACATCTTGTCATGCTTGCACAAGAGTATCTATACTATTGCTAGTTATATTTGTTTATACTTTATCATATTCATACTCCCACTGAAAGACTCTGACTTGATGTCTTTGTTTTTATTGCCAGGGGAATGGTTGATGAAAGTGATGAACAGTTTGTTGGCTATTTCCTACCGAATGAAGAAACAAGGCAAAAGCGGAAACGAGACGTTGAAGAGGGTATTGACTACACCCCAGAGGAGGAGTAAGTAACAGAATGAACAGTGGATCTTCTGTATTAAACTTGGTAAACTGAGGTACACATTCAGTCTGAGTACAAAACAGCTCCAAGAAAAAAACTCCTAGTGTTCAACTGACATTTAATAAAAATTTCAGTATTTTTTTTCAAAATATGTAGTTGTTATTCCACTGGAGGTTAAGCTGTCGACTTCCAATTCTGTCAAGTTTTTTTTTTCCTTTTCTGTGGTTTGAGTCACATTGATGTTCATTCTGTCTCATTTGAATTTTAGATATGAATACAAAATGGCGAGGGAGTACAACTGGAATGTGAAAAACAAAGCTACAAAAGGTTATGAAGAAAATTACTTCTTCGTTGTACGAGATGATGGTGTCTATTACAATGAATTGGAAACAAGGTAGGAGTGAAATCTTACAAGGTTACTGGAAGTTTTCAGCCTGGCTTTAAATTTGTATTTTAATGTACATGTTCTTTCAGTTTTGGGAGTTGTAGTTTTGTCTTATGGTTTTGCAAATTAATCATCATAAAATATTTTTCAGGGTACGTCTGAGTAAACGGAGGGTCAAAGGTCCAGTTGTGTCTAGCAACTCGGTATTGATCGTGAAACACCGAGAACTGACAGAAGGTGAAAGTAGCCAACAGGTAAGTTATATTTTATTGTTCAATAACAGTGACAGATAAATAAACTTAACGATGCAATTAACTATGTAATTTTGTCATTATAGGAGGCAAGATTGTTGCAGCTTGAACCTGTGGTACAGGAAGAGGAGGAAGAAGAAGAGGAGGCGGCAGCAGAGGAGGCGAGTGAAGCCGAAGCCGAGGAGGGACAAGAAAATGCTAGTGATGCAGAAGGTAAATTTTATTTCAAATTTATAGATTGTAAGGTCTATTAAAAAGTATTGCACTGTATTTACATTTGTCTTTGGAATATTGTCAATAATACAATAATATCAAGCGACATATCCCATGCTTTTACTTAAAATTTTAATATGCACTGTGCGACAAATCATGACAAATCACGAACACTGTTAGATAAATTAATCCTGAACATGACTAGCAGCGAGAATATCTCGATTGATAAAATGGTTTATTTATATTTAAATATTTGTAATTAAAAAAAAGATGTCACTAGATATATTTTGTGCGTAGACTTAGACACCCTTATGATGTCGTCAGTAAACTTTTTAAAAAGTTGGAACAGATTATCATACAGTGTATTACCTTTCCTTGTATCCAACAGAAGAAAGTGGAAGTGAGAAAATGAGTGATGCAGAAGATGAAGACGAGGCAGAGAAAGAGAGTGGAAAAGAAGATGAGATGGAGGAGCAAGCCAGCGACGATGAAGACAAAGAAAGCAAAAAGGGAGAAAGCAGCGCTGGTAGTAGCAGTAGTAGCAGCAGCAGTAGTAGCAGTAGCAGTGGCAGCAGTAGTGAAAGTGAGGAAGAGAGAAGAAATGAGGAAGAGATTTTCGGTAGCGCTAGTGATAGCGAGGAGGAAGCAAAAAGTGCGTCTGAGTCAGGAGAAGAAAGTGACTAAATTTAATGGGTTTAACTAAGTGAACATTTTCAAACATTTTGTCATGCTATAAATTCAGCTTAATGTTACTTAGTTTGGTTCTTGAAAGCTGTTTCTGTTTTTTGTCATCAAGTGATATGCTTGAGGTTTATTTCAGAGCATGGCATGATCACCCAATTTTGTTGTTTTTCTGATCATGGGCGTAATGCTGCAGATTATAACTACTGTGGACCAGTCAATGATAATCATTGTTGTGATTCATTTCGTTTTCCTGAAAAACAAAATATTTGACAACATGGTCAACATGTTTCAAGCCTTTTCTCAGATTTGATGAGATGGACAGAGGTTTGTTATCTGTCTTTATAAGTGACCAATCCAATCTGCCGTACATGGGTGTATATTGAACCAGATGTTTAAAGGGCGCCCCCACAACACTCTCTGTATTTTGACAGTAGAGGGCAGAAAATCATGAGGAATTTTATATATATTGAGTAGACATTTTGTTGTGTAACATAAAACAAAATAAAAATCATATTTTTTACGAGTGTGATGTGTGTTTTATAGTTAGAAAAGTAGACATTACGTTTATAAGCCATGTATTCAGGGTTTTTATTCTTCAAATAAACACCCAAGTGTTTATTACACAGTCCTTTCTGCATTAGAACACTTCCTTGATCTAGTTCTGAAGTTTTAAGCAAAAAAACGCTGCTTTGTTAAAGGGT